TCGAGCCGTGCTCCTGCAACGACGCTTCCTCGTCCGCGCACGACGGTTGCCCTTACGTCCCGAGGTCCCCCAAGATGCCGACGAAACTGCTAGATTATTCGCCGTTTCCTTATTTAACCGTGACGATCGAACGCCTGGACTCTCTGACGGAGAGGAAGGACAAGAAGCGGACGATCGTGAAGAAGAAACCGAAAAGTGCAGCGTGCGACGACGGTGGCACGGAGGCGACTGACTCGAAGAGTACGTCCAAGGAGTCGAGTTTGGTACAGAGGTGTGTTCGCGAGAAGGACCAACCGCAGGAGGAGCACCAAGTAGATTCTCCCTCGGTAGAACCGTTCTGCGAGAAACTGTGTTCGCCTAATATAAATGCTATGAAACAATGCAGAGTGATCGTGGAAAGAGTAAACTCGCCGAAACCGGTGAGGACCGCGGTGCAGAAGCATTGTCCGGACAAGGGAGAGCTGAGCCCGAAAGTGGTCGTCAAGCGGTTGGCCGAGGACGAGGAGATGGTGTTCACCTCTACCCTGTCCGACGAGAGTCTGCTGCCGGTGAACACCTCGAACTCGTCCGAGACAGCCGACTCTTCCGACCAGACTTTGGAGCCTTCCACGGACGTTCCGGAAGCCGTAGACACGGAAACCGAGACTGAGACCGGGTCCGATAGTTCGGAGGTGACGTCCGTGAACGCACGACTTCGGGGATGCGACGATGACACCGTGTCCGACCAGATATCTTGCCCAGAAAGCGAATCCATGTGCTGCGTTGACATCAACCCGGAGATTATAACCAGGTTGGAACCCGAGAGACCGGAAGCGTTCACGGAGGACTCCGCGGAAAGTCTAGCTCTTGCCGCTGGGGCTCGGGACGAAGTCAGGTCGGACGGTAGCGATTCTGGCCTGGGAAGCGAGATACCTGGTGAATCTGGACCTGCGCCGGCTCCAGAAAGCGATTCCGAAACTTCTTTCTTGGATAGGATACCCGATGATATTCTTTCCGATAAAGAAAAAGGTATTTCTCGTTTGTTCTCGTGCGACTTCTATTTGGACGGCTAAGTAAACCATTTTGTTTCAGTGGTGAATCAGTTGGAGTCGATCGGAGTGGATGCACCCGGTACCCCGCAGACGCCGTTGACGAACTTCCGGAGTCCGTCGAAGAGCAACTTGAAACGGAGATTGATCGACTGCATGGAAGGTGCACCGAGCCCGAAGAAGAGCAATACCGATGAGTCCATGAAAAAGAAGCGCAACATTCAGTTCGATGCTGTAACCGTGTATTACTTTCCCAGGGCACAGGGTTTTACTTGCGTGCCTTCTCAGGTAAGCTCTCTACCTCTAAATACTATAATTTCCCTAAACCGCAGACTCCATAAAAGAATCTACAATATCTATTTCTCCTCTCATTCTTGATAAAATAGTACACCTGTAGAGTGCTATATGGAAAATCGATTTGATCGTTCTTCAGGGTGGCAGCACTCTTGGTATGAGCGCGACGCACACTCACGCCGAACGGTTCTCGTTATCGGAACACGCTGCCGAACAGAGGCGGATTCATCGTGCTAGGCTTGCACAATTGCGCTCCGAGCGCGCTGCAAATTGCGTGTCCGAGGCGGCGTCCAGTTCCGAGGATCCTAGCGACGACACGGACGAAGAACAAAGCGATAACGAGGAGTTGGATATCGATAGTTATTATTTCCTGCAGCCGGTGCCAACGTGGCAAAGACGAGCGTTGCTTCGTGCCGCAGGAGTTCGTCGAATAGACGCCATCGAAAAAGACGAGTGTCGCGATATTAGAGCTAGCAGAGAACACTGTGGTTGTGGATGCAAAGGGTATTGCGATCCAGAGAGTTGTCCTTGTAGCCGAGCTAATGTCAAGTGCCAGGTTAGTTCAACGATGAGAGAAATTCGTGGTTACACGTAGATTGTGTTTTACATGTACGTTTATTTGACAGGTTGATCGAGCAGGTTTCCCCTGTGGATGTACTCGAGACGGCTGCGCGAATAGTACAGGCAGAATCGAGTTCAATCCCGTCAGAGTACGAACGCATTTCATCCACACGTTAATGCGGTTAGAGTTGGAGAAAAAGCATCGGGAAGAAGAGGAGGGTACGGATCACGATGCTTCTGACAATCAGAACGGTAGAAGTCCGTTGAGAGAGATTAACTTGGGATCTGTGATGGAGAATAGGAACGCGGAATCGTGTTTGAACGGCGGTGGATTCACGACGTTACACTATGAGAGCCACGACGCGAGGGATGCCGGAACAAATTGTCAACCAGAGATAACCGGCACCAGAGAGGATAGTCTGGATCTGTACGCTATCAGAGACGATTGTTATCCGAGCGAAGACACTGTCGATGGTACGCAGGGACCTCAAAGGAAACTTCATCCTGAATTTAGTCAAGCTTTTCAAACGTTCACGGGTCAAACCGGTCCCGGTGTTAATTTTCAACAGCCTACTTATCAGGATTACCAGCCTTACGCTAACCTTCCTTCCACGTCTAGGGTGCAATTTCAGCCACAATTCCAAACGGTGCCAGGAAATCCAGGGTTCTCGCATTACTCGCCTTACGGGCAAGACGCTGGATCGATTCAGGGGAACTGCCAAGTCCACTCGGGACAACATTCTTCCGCCTATGAGACCAGCTTCGCCCAAGACGAGACAACAGGATCGCAGTACACGAATCTGAACTCGGTGCAGCCGATGAACACTGTGGTTCAACAAATGGGTAAACTAGAACCGTTCTCGGAACTCTTGTCTGCCAGATATTCGTACTACGGTGAAATGGAGCCGCAAGCGCACGGTACTTATCACGGGAACGGAACCAAGGTCGACGTCGAGAAGAATCATCAAGGTAACGAGCAACAATCGGAGAGTACGGAGGAGTGCGACGAAAACTTCGGGGAGATCATCAAGAAGTCGATGGTCGAGACTGTATCCGCTTAAGGTCGAACTGTCTGTAGATATGTCGAAGACCGTGTACGCGACTCCGTCAAAACAGTTTTTTCACCCGTAGTGAAACATAGTGTAATGTCAGCGGGTTTAAAAGCTTCGTTGAAAAACCTCGCGGTGAATGTAACGGGGAAAGAGGACTGTCTCGAGACAAAGACACGAAGAAAAAGGAGGTGCCGCGGTACTTTGACTGCGTCCTTCCTTGCGTTAGATAAATCCGAGTAAATTGTTCGCGTGGTTTTCGAAAAGAACTTCGAAAGGAAAGTCTCCTCGAGAATCACGGTTAACCACGACGCGACTCTCGTGGATGTCGTTAAGAGAATTGTAACGACACGTGCGTCCGCCCGGGATGAAAGTTTCCGGACATCGTCCTCCGCGTTGGCGAAGACGATGTTCTCGAAACGACGCGAAGAGAATCCTGGGCCGCCGATTCGGTGGAGGATTTTCAGGGGCAGGTCTTCGTCGAAAATCTTCATGAACTTGCCAGCGACTAGGATTCGGTAACGGCCAGTTACGGAACAAATTCAACGAGGTTGTGACCAAAAAAACCAACAACATGGGATCAGCTTAGATTGCAGTTTATAATATTTAACTTTAATACTTTAATCTAAGATCGCGGTTCTCGCGTCTCTCTTTATAAAAAACAATGTTTCGGATCCGTGCGACAGCGGCGATGGCGGAAACACGTATTTCGTTGCAACAGCGAGACCGGAAGCGTTCGTTTCGCTGTTGCAAAAAGGAAGGATGGCATATTCAACACGCAAAACACGCATTTGTACACGGAACGTGAGCGATTGTGATACCTGAAGTGGTTTGTCAGGATCATCGTGTAGGTTAAGGAATAAATTATGGGACTTTTTTATGCCAGTTAGTAGGGGATCAAGTTCGAACGGTTTTCGTTTTTTAACGGTCAATGGTAAGCGAGGAAAGGGAACAGACCTTTCCCGCGTTGTACGAACACTCGTGTTTTTCAATGTTTGAGAGAAATATTGATTGATATACCAAGCGCACGCTGTCTACAGAACACACGAAGTTCAGTCCTTGTATATTTTTCTTTTCGTTCTTCATTCACGTGGCACCTTGAAATTGCAATCCTTTTTAATACCATGCATATAAATTTCTCGAGAACTCCTGTGCCCGAACGATCAACGGCTCAACTTTGTTCTTCGATCGCAATTTCAAGGTAAACCTTAACGTCAGCGAATGAAAAGAAAAAACCCGCGCGAATGTTTATTTTCGATTTTGAATTGCCGAACGATAAATGAAGTCTGATAAAAAAAAGCAGAAGTTTGCCTTGTTCGGTGATTCCTTCGCACATCCATCGTTATTCACCTTGTAGATTTTCAGACACAGACCTCTTTAGCATCCCGGGACGTTGATCGCTAATACCCACGATTAATTGAAATATTACATTTAAGGATACAATGATAACGACGATAGTATTAAATTTATACATACTTACTGGACGTGTCAACTCTTGACCGCATTCTGACGTTCTTCTATATCCGTGTTTTTTACACTGTGTTCATCGTCGCTGAATTGGTGCCTGAATCGTTACGTTTGTTATCGATGTACAATGATAACGAAAATCTCATTTTCTCCCGGATAATAGAAGAAACGAAAGAGGTCACGGATTTAAAACGTCGACAAGTTGCGAAGGATGTGACACCTCCGTCTAACATAAATACATATATAAACTACACGTATGTAAGTAACTTTTAGAGTATTTGAGTAAAAAAAAAGGCATACATAGTTGATAGCGTTTTATTAAATGTTGTGAAAAAGTCTCTTGTCTGTCGTGTAACGTGTTGTCTCATTTTGTGTGTGCAACTTTTCACGTTTTTTTTATTTCGTCCTTCACGATAAAACCGATCCTAAGATTTGTTGATTTTTTCACGTCGTTATACCTTTATCCATAGTACGATCCTGCCTTGTCATTTGTCCTTATTATACTTGTGTAAAGTTTCGTAAATGTGCATCACCTTGTGTTAACCGCATTGTACTTGTTCTTATCGAATATTGCGGAAATATGAAATTATGGGATATCAGTATATATCGTTTCTATTTGCATGAACGGAGCAGTAATTGTTAGTAAATAACAGACACGTTAGTTTATGTCGTCTTTACAAGTTAGGTAAACTCGCGGTTTGAATTTGGCGCACTACGGTCCAGATGCGCGCGCAGGTCAAACGGCAAGATGGCGTCGGTAGCGGGAATCCTGTGCGCGTGCAGTGCCGTTTATTCGCAGTAATTTTCAAAGTTTTACGTCGCGTATGAAATCGTGTGTCGCGATAACGATCGGTCCTCGATAAGGTCGAAACGATAATGCAAATAACATAACGCGAAACGCGCTAATTGAAATGTAAATGTATCGTTTGTATCCGACGTTCGTACAACGCGTTCACTGGTGGGGGAAGTGACGCGATGGAAGGGAAAGCATCGGCGAGTCGTCGACTCGAGTGCCGCTGGAAGTTTGCGCTTGCCCGTGAGCTCGTACGGAGTTTAGTTTGTTTGGTGCGGTAAAGTTTATTGTTTCGTCCTTCTTGACCGTTCGGCGAGTCGCGAAATAACGCGTCGTGTCGAAACTCGAGCGGCGGTGTAAAGTGCAGGACGCGTGTTCGTGGCGTAATTGAAAAGTTTCGTGAGAACTTGTAAAATACGAGGCGGCGTGGTAGTGTCGTTGACGTTTCGTGTGTCAGTGTCCTCTCTCTCTGTTCCCGTCTCTGTCCCGCTTGCACCCTTTCTCGATCGCGTCCCTTCTCCTCTCGATCCTTCTACACATTAAAACATCGTACTACGGAACCGCGTCGCGTTGTTGCAATGCCAGATGACAGGTGCGAGGCGCTGCCACTGGTATCCGTTAACGAGTCCTTCGAATCTCCTGCGGATTTAGGATTAACCGCAGAATGACGAGCGCAAGGTTATTTTACCGGAAGGGCGGCGAAGAGGACCGAAGACGACGGCCACGACGACGTTCTCGAATTCCCTCGCGCTAGCGGTGGGCTATGAGCGCTGACAATGGGGACGACTCCTTGGTAATTATCATACCTTTCTCTTTTTTATTGCCCTCTCTCGTTTCGTTTCTCTGTCCGTTTCGCGTACGTTTCGTGTCCGTAACGCGGGCAACGAGGCTCGCAGGTTGACAGGCTCTGTCGTGCGGAAATAATGGTGCGTGGATTCGAAAGCCCTTTCTCTATTGTAACACACACCGCACGAAGGAAGCGATATTCCCGATGGTCAGAATATTACTATAAACTAGCGTCGATCGCGTACAACGTAGGCTTCCTTTATTGCCCAGGTCGAGATTTCCCTAGGCTTCTAGATTCTCCCTCGGTTTTCCCAATACCGAAGTATACCTCTCGTACGCTTATTCTTAACCGAAAGAAGCCTACGTTGCACCGACTGTATATGTATTTCACTTTCGCGTCGACGGTGAAGCGAATCGATCGCGTAGCGAATTATGAAATCGTCAGGATCGAATAAACCGTGTTATAATTTTTATGTAACACGCGAAGGTACATACATCGTACGTAATAGCGTAGAATCACGAAAATCGTACAATGGCAGTAATGGCTCGATCGCGATTCACCTTGTACGCGTCGAACTCGACCTTTTGACAGTCGGTTAACCGACGTTGACTAATCGGACCCCGTAGCATTCTAAGCACGAGTTGCGCTCGAATTCGAAGCTTTCGACGCACGAATTTAATCGGGCCTTGCGATCATAATTCATTTTCATACTCGACACTGATCGGCAATTTTCGCGCGTTACGAAAGACAGCTATAAATCAAAAGTACTAAAAGACAATTCGTGGCTGGTTGCTAATTGCTAATAACTCGTACGTGTCACGTGGTACAGGGACCACGTGACGACGCGGTAGCTGGACATTCATTCGCGTCGGGCAAAAGTAATTTTCTCGCGTCGCGTTGACAAGGAAACATCACGAATCCTTTTTCCTCGGTTCGCGAACCGGTTAGAGCACAGAAACGAAACGAGAGTGGAATACGATTTTCGTCGAAGGCTTGATAAAAAATTATGCGATGCCGCGTGACTACCTAACCCTTATTTCTAATTCTTGTATTTTATTCGAGAATCGTACGGATCTCGTTGACCTTTGTATTCGGACGCGTGAACGCAATCGTAATAGGACTGACTTGTAGGCCCGACGAGACACGTTCAATAACTCGAGAGTCAATGAAACTTGCGCACGCGAAGGTATGCTTACTATCGAGGGACGCCGTTCTGTTTATGTTGGCGAAGCATCCTTTTTTGCATCAACCACTTTGTATTCGAATTAGAATTCTTATGTGACGCGCAAGGCACGCGTGGTCGAGTTTTCGTTGGAAAATCCGGGGTTTCGGAGTTCGAAAGTTGGTTAGTCCGTAGTCGGTTCGTTTGGAAAGTTCTCTTTTTTCCTCGATTGGAAACTCCTCGATCGCGAGCTGTCCGAGCTCCCGATTCCTCCACGATCTCGCGTGCTGTCGGTTCTATGAGAAAGGCAAGGTATAACGCTTATGAGAATGTAAAGTAATACGTGTCAAGTCTAACGAGGCGCGTCGCGGAATGCAGGAGGCGAGAAAGAAGCGCGGGCTCTTCGTGTACAACGAACGCGTACTATTTCATACACGGTGTCTCGAAATTTCGGAACAATTTCTTTTTATATTATTTATGAAATAAACACGTGAAGAGTAGATACAAGAGGTTATAATAGACGAAGTATTCGACATTCTAGAGATAGAGAATCAATTTTAAATGTCCAAGCTAAATTAATCTGGGGTCAGGTGTGATTTTGGCGGTACTTCGTAGTGCGCATGCGCACAGTGAACAAACATGGCGGCCGACAAAAGTCTGCGCATTTACCAGTAATTTATTTGTAACATTTTGTCATTTTTCTGTAACATATCTGTATTTTCTCGTATAATATCATTAATATTTATATATTATATTATAACATCATTAATTATTATTACATTCCGAATTGTTGGAAGTTGAAATTAGATCGACTTGATTTAAATTATGTCGCTTTGTTATATTGTCGACATTTTCGAGGAGGTAACGGTTCTCTGCGCCTAGAAAGATATATTCGGAGATTAGTTTAGACACTCCTTGAAGGCGTCTTCGGAACGAAACTGAACAAGGACTTTAGTAAGAAACTCGAACGATAAGTCGATCCGGCACGTTCGATAGATAGCCGTGCCAATGCCACGGGTACTGTTACTTCCAGTTATCTCAAGGCGAGAAAATCGGCGAATTGAGCCAATCGAATACGCAATCTGTCTCCGAAATAAGCCTATAGTTTCCTCTCTCGTCACTTGAGTCTCTGTAACTCCTCTCCGATACAATTAATCTCGAAATTATTTGTAAAGAGAAACCTGTAGTTGACAAAGTAAATTTGTAAAGAGAGTCCAACTATGAATAAGCCTTTCGATCCATTTCAATTTTGAAAACGTGAGAGCTTGACCACGTGGTCCACGTTACTTTCACGTTTCCATCCGTCGCGAGGGAAGAGGAAAGCAGAGAAAGATTTTCGCACTGAATTCTGAATGGACATCCGCCTTTCTCACGATCGAACCGACGCCGTGAGAAGATTGATTCGTGCGAAGAGCGCGTTGTAACTGGAGCATCCACACGCGTGTTTTCCATGTACGCTCACTGGCTCTCCTCGAGTAATGTCAATATTGAAAGGAACGGTGCAAGTGTTTGAGCACCGATGATTGTACGAAAAACATCGACTCTCGGAAAACTTATCTCGATTATAAAACAGCTGTGTCCATCTCTGTTAACCTTAACCTATGATTTCTTTCGACTATTGCGTCAGTCGTACCTTATTGCTGCTGTGTTAACCCCTTAACCTACAATTTTATGGACAATTGCGTCACATGGCTGACTATTCTTATGTGACTGGGACTTAGGTATATTGTTAGGTACATTGTTAGGTACATTGAATGCAAAATTCGGTTGCAATAAAAATGGGAGTTTAGCATATTGAAACCGTGCGTCATGGGTCCCACTGGTGTGCGTCATTGGTTCCACTGGTGTGCGTCATTAGTCCCACCAGAGTGTGCGTCATTGGTCCACCAGTGTGCGTCATGAGTGCGACACAGTATTGTAGAGGGAGGATTTTAGACAAATGAGGGAAATATATTTTGAATATAGGGATCCTTGTAAATAATAATTAGTGCTCCAAACTAATATATCAGAAGTGTAATACACATCACAATAATATAAATCAGAGGTTTAATAATGCTTCTAGGTATCAGTTATTGTCCTGAATAGTTCAGAGAGTCTAGAACCTTCGACTAATTTTTGGTTAACAAAAATGAAGACAAGTGTCTCTTTATCGAAGTTGCGAAATTGCTATCGGCGTAAACGTTTGTACAAATGGGCAGCATTCGATTACGATCATTAAGTCTCGATATTTCGCGGAACTTGGTAGGCCGTCTCACGGGTATTAACTGCAACTCAACCGCGACAAAGGAACGCTTCGTTACCCGTTGTTACCAGAAAATTGCGTTACCAGATGCAAATAGCTTTCTCTTTCGATTCACGCAATTTCGCAATTCGATTATTTTTCACCTACTCGAAGAGGTTTTTCAAAATGATTTTTCTTCGAGTCTCCGTGGAAGATTTCGTGAAAACGTGCTTGTGGGTCACGCGTGGGACACGTCTCGTGAGTCATTCCTCCCACGTGGGGTCTGGGCTTCAAGGTTTACCGTACTGCAATTCGACTACTCGAAATCGACAGAGCGATAATTGTTTTTTTCAATTAGTTTCCTGTTTCGCTCCGGCGAACGGGATCTATGGGCACTGACCATCGCTGGTAAACACGTGTTTCTCGACGCTCGTGTGAAAGTGGAGAAAAGCTTTCGCGACCGACGACACGACCGACCAGGATCTAAATTGCGAGCTGGCTTATTTTCGCCACTTGTTCTCGTTTAGATTCGTATCGCATTCCTGAGCGAGTTCAGATAGTTCGATAGTTTGCTTCCAAATTATAAAATTACTCGTTTTCAAATTAATATCGTAACGTTTCGTGGAGATGAGAATTTTAGGAAACCGTTAAAAATGTGGACAAGTTGGAGAGGTTAACGAACAGAGCCTAGGGCTAACATTTTATCTCGTCGATTTGCGTATTCGCAGACGAATGTAAACGACCGGCTAGCTGTCCGGTCCAAAAGGAGGCGAGGCTATGAATAACGAGGTTGTTGTTCAGATACGTTTCACCGTTAGACTTTTGCTCGTTCGAACGTTTTGATCTTCCTCTTAACGGTAGTTAATTATTTTACATTTTTAACGATTCTGAAAAAGATTAAAATTCATGTGACATTGGTTGTAAAAGAGAAGCAGTTTGAAAATTGTCAGGTATAATTGGGTAAAGAAGAGGAGATTGAAATCGGAGGATATTTCGAGTCAGAACGTTTCCAGCGAGGGGTCGTTTCCCGCTGATCCGGGGGTTAGAGTCTCGCTATCGATTTTCCGTCTCTCCCTCGTGCTCTCGTGTGCAGACACGAGTGGTCCGCTCGTCGGAGAGCACTAGCTGCACGCGCTAACAAGATTTACTGTTTTACGAATCGTACGAGTGGAAACGGAACATCGTGAAATTCACCGAGTCACCTATGCGTAATCGCGACGCGTAGAAATTGCCGAGAAACGCGAATTTTCACGTTTCAAATGGCGTTATAGACGCTTCTCAAATAACGAATCTACCCGCTCTTGGATACCCTATCTTCCTCGCTTGACATTTCGAGACTTCAATTACGACTTTTTTTATTTAATCGAATTAAGGTTCGAGGACTATTAAGGTTTATTTCGAGATTCTTTCATTTTCGATTCGTATGGTATCATTAGAAATATGGAAGTTCTATTTTATTGCGGTATAATTAATTTTTTGGACTATTTTGATGAGTTTGACTCTTGACGCACTTGTGACGCATTCATAATATACTCTTGACGCACTCGCGACGCACCCACGATAATATTCATGACGCACTCGTGACGCACCCATGATATATTCATGACGCACTCGCGACGCACC